GGTGTTGACCATCTGGTGATGTCCATGTGTAGAGTCTTCTCTTGTGTTGTTGGAAGAGGGTGTTTGCTATGACCAGTGCGTTCTCTTGGCAAAACTCTTATTAGCCTTTGCCCTGCTTCATTCTGTACTCCGAGGCCAAATTTGCCTGTTACTCTAGGTGTTTCTTGACTTCCTGCTTTTGCATTCCAGCCCCCTATAATGAAAAGGACATCTTTTTTGGGTGTTAGTTCTAAAAGGTCTTGTAAGTCTTCATAGAACCATTCAACTTCAGCTTCTTCAGTGTTACTGTTTGGGGCATAGGCTTGGATTACCGTGATATTGAATGGTTTGCCTTGGAAACAAACAGAGATCATACTGTCATTTTTGAGATTGCATCCAAATACTGCATTTTGGACTCTTTTGTTGACCATGATGGCTACTCTATTTCTTCTAAGGGATTTCTGCCCACAGTAGTAGATATAATGGTCATCTGAGTTAAATTCACCTATTCCTGTCCATTTTAGTTAGCTGATTACTAGAATGTCAACATTCACTCTTGCCATCTCCTGTTTGACCACTTCTAATTTGCCGTGATTCATGGACCTAACATTCCAGGTTCCTATGCAATATTGCTCTTTACAGCATTGGACCTTGCTTCTATCACCAGTCCCATCAACAACTGGGTATTGTTTTTGCTTTGGCTCCATCCCTTCCTTCTTTCTGGAGTTATCTCTCCACTGATCTCCAGTAGCATATTGGGCACCTACCGACCTGGGGCGTTCCTCTTTCAGTATCCTATCATTTTGCCTTTTCATACTGTTCATGGGGTTCTCAAGGCAAGAATACTGAAGTGGTTTGCCATTCCCTTCTCCAGTGGACCACATTCTGTCAGACCTCTCCTCCATGACCTGTCCATCTTGGGTGGCCCCACACAGCACAAGACTGTGGTCCGTGTGATCAGATTGGTTAGTTTTCTGTGATTATGGTTTCAGTGTATCTGCCCTATGATTCTTTATCATGGCAATTTAAAAACCAGCTAGTTCAAGAAAAGTGGATGTGTGGACCCATCTATGTATCTGTGTTTATCTATATTTGTTCATAAGATGGAAAACTACACAGTCCATTAAGTCATGCTGAAGAGGAACATTTCCTTTCACAGAAAAATGTCCAAGGAAAGACTGCTGCCTTAAACAAAATGCAAGGTATAAAAGAGTCTGTATAGCAACACTATGGTGTTATTTATAACATCAGATGGGTGGCTGAATAAGAATTTATTTGATCATCAGTTTTGCTTATCCATCCCTTATTATTTCTCTAAATGACTAAGTATTACTTACATAAAGACAATAAAAGTTACTTTAAAATTTAAGAGCAGTTTCTCAACAAATAGCATAACTTTTTTCAAAACAAAAATTTGTACTCTAGAATGTTAAGATACTTATTTTTCAGGCTTCAAACCTTGATTATCAAATTGTGGTTTTAAGGCTTTTTTCCCCTTTATAAAATGCTGGTAAGGGTATAAAGCAAGGTAGGAGTTTGTTGATCATTTGCCAGAAAACAAGGTGCTGAGCAAGAGTTTAAAATGGGAGAGTGAACACATGAAAAGTCAAAACAATGGAGTACTTCTTACCAAAATGTCTGCTGCACATTAAATAAAAACGTGTAAAATATTCTACAGTTCTCAAACATAAGTGTATGTAAACCCCTTCTTTAAAAAGTTTAATAGGTAATAATCGCACATGTTTTTAAAAGGAAAAAATACAGGAAAAATATGTAAGCTAATCTGCCTCTCACCCCTGTCCTGCAAACACTCAATTCCTCTTCCCAGAAGCAACCATCATCAATTGTTTCTTATGTATCCTTCTGCAACTATTTTAAGGGTATAAAGCAAATATGTATGTACCCATTAAAAATTTCTTTTTACACAAATGGTAGCATACTGTGTACACCATTCAGGATATTCCTTTTTTGATTCGGTAGTGAATCCTGGAGATCATTCCAATGAGTATCTGTGGCTCTAACTCATTCTACTCCATCATATGGCTGTTACACAGCTTCACTAACTATTACATCCTCAATGGACACAAGTTATCTGGAATTCTTTATCATTGTTGATGGTAAAAAAAAAAAGATTTCATATAACTTACAGTGCATACCTTCGAATATAGAAATAAATGTATTTGTAGGACAAATTCCTAGAAATGGAGTTAACAGATTAAAGGAAATACGCATTACTAAATTTTGACAGATATTTTTGTCAGAAAGCCCCTAAAGACAATCCATGTGGAGGTTCATTCCTCTATACCCTCACAAAAAGCATATCACTAAACTTGAATGTTTGCTGGTCTGACAAGTGCTTAGGATTTTAATGTTTATTTCTCAGTTATTACAAGTGAGATCAAGCCACTTGTATTTCCTTTCTTGACAATGGCCTGTTCACTGCAGAACCCTCTGAAGAACAAAAAAGTTCTGGTGACAACTTAACACAAAATTATCCTTTTTTAAAAGAAATAAAATCTTACTTATGAAAATGACTTTCAATTGAAAAGGTCACTGCAAAAGAAAATCTTGTGTTGATAATTGACAGAATTTAAAAAGATAATCTCAAAACGGAAACATCAAATTTGTAAAAATTGTAAATCTCCATAACCCACTGCATACCCCTCCTGCAAACTCTCCCAGAATCTCGTTAGAGAAAGACTGGTTTTGACAGAAACTTTTAGGCAGATGATCACCTATACGCTTCTTTTCCAACTATTTTACCTTTCCGTTTCTTGCCACATTTTTTCTTTCTCATGGAGCTTGTGAACTCTGGCTTGCATTTTGCTACTTCCTCTTTTTATAAACATTCTATTTTGTATTTGTATATTTTTATTTTGTGTTGTACCTTTCTATTTCGGTTAATCTTTCTCCCAGGAAACTTCACTGGCTACATTTGTTAAGTTGAAGAAAACCTTTTCCAACAAGCTTTTGATCATGAAGTCTAATCACAACCTCTATATTCCATAAACTCTCAGCACTGGATAAATGCACGTGTTTTATATATAGATAAATATGTACGTATGCTAGTTTTGTGTGTTAATGCAAAAGCTTCCAATTTTATTTACTTATGTGTTGATCCTGTCTTCCATCTAAACTCTGAGACTCTTGAGGTTTCTTCTTTTTTTTTTTTTTTAAAACAAGAGGGTTTGTTTCTCTCTCGTGTATAAGAAGTCCAAAAGCTGGCATCACCTCTGGTGTGCATAGCACTGAGTGGTTCATCAAGGACTTCATCTGCTTCATCTCATTAGAGCCTTGTAAACACGCTTGCTTGTGACACTCATCCCAGCTGCTCTTCCTTCCGAAGCACCAGCTTCTTTGTAGTAAGTGTTTCCATTCGATGTTGCTGTTCCTGGTCACCAAATGGGCTTCTTTCCTTTTCTTAACGATCCAGAGCCTTACTGGCCCCATTTACATATACAGCAACCCCTAACACTGGGGAAAATACATCACAGACGCAGGGTTAATATCTATAATACATGGAAAGTCCTATGAACAAGAGCCAGGGATATCACTCTGGGAGCCAGTGGGCTGCGAAGAATTGGAAATTACCTCCAGCTGTCAGTCATCTTGTTATAGACTTGTGAATGGTGGCTTCCACATTCCTGGGCCAAGAGTAGCCGTGCGTGGCAGTCATGGGTCCTTGTCATCGTCAGGCTGGACGTCATCACTCACTGGTCCCATGTTGTCACTGAATCGCACACCAGCCGCTCTCACTTTCCTTCAGGTGGTCGCTCGCTCAGTCGTGTCTGACTCTTTGCGACCCCATGGACTGTGTAAGCCCACCAGGCTCCTCTGTTCATGGAATTTTCCAGGCACGAATACTGCAGCGGGTTGTCATTTCCTTCTCCATCTTCATTCTTATTTATTCCATTTTATCAAATAAAATCTGCTTGATGGTCTAAGTAGCCAAGGCTACATTAGATGCTGCGCTGCTACTTTGCTCTCTAAATTATATTTACCTCATGCCCAACTGACCTTAGTTGCTTCTGTTGGCTTAACTGCATTGTAATTTCTGTTAGATGAATTGACTTACTAGGGAAAACAAGCTTTATTGTTTTGGTTTGGAGCCAGCTTGTCGGCACATGCAAAGAAAGGGTTTATATAGATTGCAATCAGGATTTCCCTGTCTTAGCAGCTTAAGCTTGGGCTCTGAAGCTGGGCTGTCTGGGATTAAATCTGGCCTCCACATCTTACTTGTTATGTCATTTTGGGCAAGCTGCTTATTGTCTCTAACAAGATTTTCTTATCAGTAACATGGGGATTGTAATAATTTCAAACTCATACGGTTTCCATGAAGATTAAGTGAGATAATCAGGTAAAGCATTTCTATGCTGCTGAGGCCAAAGTAACAACTAACTTTTCAACAAAGGTTCATACAGTTTCTCTTTAAAGCTAGGTTAACATTCTCCTTTCATTTTACACAACAACCTTTCCTACCCACATGAACACTAGAGGCTTAAGCCAAATTATCACCCACCATTTAATATCAACTTGAGGTAATTACAAATCCAAGAATTTATAATAAGCTTACAAAATATTTCATGCTGGTATGTATCAGAACTTACCCCTTAACACCCAAATGGCACCATCTAGGCTTCCACTTTTTAGAAAAATTTCTGCTGCAATATTCACAATTTGACATCTTGGTGCTAACTTCTCAGGCCCTATAAGTCCTTTTAAACTTGTAAAATGTATTTTCAATTCATATAGTTTATCTAAGACCTTCCTTCCCTAGAGTTAAAAAAAAAAAAAGAACACTGATTGTTAATCATTTAGAATATTATAGAGATACAAAGTCACTGAAGATTATATAGAAGGCAATTATGCAATCTGAATCATCATTCGAGACTGATGGCTATCAAACTGCTTCAAGATGCTCTTCTTAAGCCCTTTCCAGCGCAGCCATGAAAACAGAAAGGGAAGGGGAGCAAGCAGGGCTTTGCCTCATTAACCACCGGGCCTCCTCTCAGTGGATCTCCCTTCATCTGTTTTAGTCAGTGAGCTTCCTTTCTAAAGGCCTCATTTGGCAAAAAGATTTCATGCCTTAAAGTGGAAAACTACCCATTATATGTTCTTGCTCTTCTTATGTTGATCACCCTGAGACCCAGGAGAGAGAGCCAATGAAAAGAAGATAATTTAATATAAAATTGAGATAAAGAATGATAGTGGGGGAAAAGGGATAAAATTGTTGGCTAAAAATTGTTTTTCTGAGTCAATAGGCTAATAGTTTCACATAATCTACATAAGGACTGTCTCTAGGGTAGACATTAGAAACTGGACCTGTGTTATTATTTCTATTAGGGTCAGCAAAACTTTTCTATAAAAAGTCAGATAGTAGATGCTTTGGGCTTTGCAAGTTACATTTGGTCAGCTGCATATTCTTTTTGGTTGTTTTTAAATTTCTAAGTCTTTAAAAATGTAAGAAACATTCTTAGCTCATGAGTAGTATAAAAATAGGCTGTGGGCCAGATCCGGGTTTTAGTTTACAGACTCTTGTTTCATATTATATTATACGCTATTTTGAGTCAGATGCATATTATGTCGTCAAAGTACTTTCAATCTGACTGTATTAAATGAGTGCATTTTTCAAGGGATACCTTAAGTTTAATCCCAATGGTTTTACTTTTATGTTCAAAAAGGAAGTTTTATTAAAAATTTTCATTTACATTTCATTAAAAATTCAGCTAAGTAAGATAACAAATAAAATACTCATTCTGAATAATATAGTGAACATTTAAAATTAAAATATAGGCACAAATTCACCAACCGCTTATATCTTAAATAAAAACAGCCAAAAACAATTAAAATATACTCTGAAATAAAGCAAAATCAGTCTGAGTTTTAAAAAGAACTTTCCTACTAGGTAGTCCTCAAATTCTCAAGCATTAGATACCCAAGAAGTTAATGCTATGATAGACCTTAAGCTAGATTGTGAGAAGGGGGACAAAGTACATTTTGTCCAGTCCAGGTCTATCAGATAATAAGTGCTCTTGAAGAGCTTGGAAACTGGAGATCTTCTGTACAATGATTATTTGAAAATGTTTTTCTTTAAAAAAATTTTGAATTTTGTATGTGTACATGAGTGACCATGTACACATTTAATGTCCTTAAATATTATTTCAATTGTGAAACAACCTCTTTATAAAAAAGAAGCAAGTGGGGAGGGAGATAGGAGGGAGGTTCAAAAGGGAGGGGACATATGCATACCTATGGCTGATTCATGTTGAGATTTGACAGAAAATAACAAAATTCTGTAAAGCAATCATCCTTCAAGAAAAAAAAAACAAATTAAAAAAAAAATGTAAAAACTAGAGAACTGAGAGGGAGGAAACACCTGCATTTGACTGCATAGAAATAAACCAGTACATGAACTTTTAGAAAAAAGGAGGAGGAAGGAATAAAAGTTATATTTTAATAGCTGATTCAATAGCAACCTCACTCTCAACTATCCTACCTCCATATCTCAGCACTTCTCTCCCTATTTTGGATTTTCCTGCCCTTTACTTAACTTTATTGAATCTATCACTCTACCTGCACCTCAGGGAAGTAAACCTCAGGTAGTAAAATATGGTCTAGAGTTGCTACACTGCTTCTACGATGAGCTAAATCTCAAAGGTAGACATGAAGATAGTAACACTGTTCCAGGGAATCCTAAGAAGTCATTTCAAAGTTCTATTAATTGTATCTTGGGCTCATCTTGAGAGGTCTTCCAAAACTGTAATACTGCCAACACTCAGGAGTTGACAAAATATACTGAATTGACAGGTGCTTCAAGTAAAAATGACATTTAGCCCAGCTTCCCAAGTATTCCCCACACTGAGATTCTTCATGGTAGTCAGTCTCATGCCTCCTCCTGTCCATATGTTCCTAATAACACCACCTAAGTGAAGTGTAAGTCGCTCAGTCGTGTCCGACTCTTTGCGACCCCATGGACTATACAGTCCATGTAATTCTCCAGGCCAGAATACTGGAGTGGGTAGCCTTTCCCTTCTCCAGGGGATCTTCCCAACCCAGGGATCGAACTCAGGTCTCCTGCATTGCAGGCAGATTCTTTACCAGCTGAGCCACAAGGGAAGCCCAAGAATACTGGAGTGGGTAGCCTATCCCTTTTCCAGGGGATCTTCCTGACCCAGGAGTCGAACTGGGGTCTCCTGTATTGATGGTGGACTCTACCAACTAAGCTATCAGGAAAGCCCAAATATACCACCTAATAATTCACTTACTGTCTGAGGCTCAATTTGCCCCCTGTAGCGATAATCAGCAAAATTTTAACTTTCAGGGTTAACTTATATTCTATACATAAATGTAAAATGAACAAACACTCTACAGATCAAGCCAAAACAAAAATTTAGTGAAGTACCTTGGACCACTGCAACAGCTTGTGATAGAAGTACATAGCACTGATTCCGATTCTTCCCAGCAAAGTTTTATCTACTTCACTATTCTGCGGATCTTTGCTAACTGAAACACAAAGTAGATACACGGAAGAAAATGAAACAGTCACTTTGAATGACGGAAAAGGCAAATTTAATATGGAATTAGTGATACTACCACAGAGACCAGGTGTCGGCCAACTACAGCCCATGGACTGCATCTGGCCTGTGGCCTGTTTCTGTATAGCCTGTGAGCTTCTAAGAATGGCTTTTATTTTTAAAGAGTTGTTTGAAAAGAAAACTATGTGACACAGATCATATGCTGTGTGTGCAACACCTAAAATATTTACTATCTGGTCCTTTACAGGGTTCGTCAACCCTGATAGAGAATATAGCAGTGAAGGGCTCACACACACACACACACACACACACACACACACACACACACACAGAGAAAGGTCTCAAAAACACATGAATTTTATTGACTTGCAACAGTGAAGATAGTAACAGTGATCCCAAAATTCAGATTCTTCACTATAATTTGCTAGCAACAGTTTTACCAATCTGAATGAAAAGAAAAATAAGAACATGAAACATCTGATATACTAACCTTTTATCACTTTTTCATCATTATAATTTAAGTTGATAGAAAAAATTTATAAAGAGAAGAAATCGTATCTAAAACCTGCATTATTAATTTATCTTCAACTTGGAGACTATTAGGAGCTTTATGTTTTGAACACCGTGCCAGTCAATCAATCAGTAAGAAAGAACACCGTATCACCCTAACATGCAGTACTCTGACCAAAACATTTACCTGTTTCAGCAAATTCACAAAATGGAACACTTGGTCGCTCTTCTTTATTGTCTTTTGTTAGTGTTTCAGCAATACAAGCACAAAATCTCTGGAAATCTGCAAGTTTTTCGCAGCTCATTTTTATGTTAATGTATACATTTCCCAATTTGGTCCAGTCACCTTTTTCTTTACAATGCTATGAGAATTATTAAAAACAAAACAAAAAATGTAAGCTGTCATTTATGCAAACATATTATGGGGTAGGCACATGTCGGCATTACAGAAGTTAATAAGACGTGATCTCTGCAAATCTTATATAAGCTTCCTGGCAAGTGTTATAACAGCAGTAACAAGTTACTGTATAATTTGCTTTTCTGACCATGGCAAAGCCTATATAAGGTCCAGATGTCAACGTACACCTGTCTTAATTATTTAGTTCCTAATGTCCTTAATGACGTCATCCCCAAACCTAGAATACACAGTGGAGATAGATTTTCGGAGAAGAGATGACTGGCAGCATGATTTGAGCTGCCTTCACAGTAATACATTATTTTATTACTGTTAGAGATTGCATTTTACAATTATTTGGCCATCTGTGATGTGGGGCCCACACACAACTTTGGGCATTACATTTCTTCTACAAAAGGACCTAAAAAGTAAATTTCACTAAACTTACTCTCTTTCTATTATTTTCTATTCTAAAGTAAAAGTTTTCTATACCAACAAAATATACTGTTTCAAGGATATACATATTAATTTAGACTAGATCAACAATTATTATAATGAGTATAAAAATGATCTTAAATTAAAAAGTCAAGTCATCCTGAAAGTCCTCTATTTCTTATTCAGACTCTAAGTGCTTGGAGAGCACACAGTGACCACGGCTTTACCCTGTCAGGTGACATCCTGTCCATTCAATATGATCACCCGTGGATCATGACAAGAAAGCCAACTCACTCATGCACTGAAGGAGTCCACCTAGTTACAAGAAGTAAAAGCCAAGCTATAGATTACTATAGCTTAACATACCTTAATTTTAAACTGAACAACTATGTCTAGAATGATTTTTAGAATAGTTCAAACTCTAGAAATTATGTTTCCATTTGAAGGCATTAACTTGTAAAAAATTAAACTTCTTTTCCTTCTTTTCTCTGTGTAACAGCTGCATTTGTAAACCTTTTTCTAAAATTGGGTTACTATTCAGCTTCTTTGTTGTCACTGGTTTTCAGAGTTCCCAGATACATATTTAAAAGATAAGCATCATACCTCTATTTCATTCAAGGCTGCCTCTAAGTCACATTTCCAGTTCTTTTTAAATTGCCTCATGTGTAACCTTTAACAACAGAAAAGGGTTAATTACGTTCACTCCCGCAAAGTCAATATTGCTTCTAATTCATTTGTTAACTTTTACCTAAAAGACTAGAGAAAGAGTAATATGCTATAAAAATTCTTTAGTGCTGAATAAAATGGTAATTGCACAGTTACCTTACTTAAACTATTTCCTCCTGAACCACAGGCAATGAGGAAGAAAAACAATTCCATGTGAAACCATACTTTCATCCCAACTTGAAGACAGAGAATGTCAAAGGTTCAAAATAATTGTGAATACAAAGAGAAAAAAACACACACACAAAAGAAATCCTAGCACTTGCCCTCTGCTGCTCTCATGCCACCCTTATTGCTCCATAAGGACATGAGGCAAGCAAACACTAACCACAACAAACCAAATCAAGCAAACAAAAAGTATCTGTAAGGGTAGAACCATACAAGGAAATTAGCAGAAGGACCTAACAGTGACTAAAAATTACCATTACAAAGTCCACACAAAGTTTGAAAATGCTAAGGAAAACAAATGGGTAGATGAGAACATAAACCACACAGAAGGAATTTAGAAGTTTGTATGATTTGAACAAAGCAAATGTGAAATGCATGGATAGCTTCAGGGACAGGAAAAAAAAACAAAAAACAAAAATGAAAGGAGAAGTATGCTTTGGCAACTGGGAAGAGGAAAAGAAAAGGTGCATGCAGAGAGGAAGGAGCCAATAAAGTGTTAATACTGTAGAAGAGCCAACTATGGGGTCAATTTTGGTAATTAGTCCCAATGTTTTATAAATTATTCCAGAGCATTAAAAAGGAAGGATAAGTTCCTAATTTTTATCCATTCATCTGTGGATGGTCACTTAGGTTGTTTTCGCTGTCTTGGCTATTATCAATGGTGTTGCTATGAATACTGTGGTGCATGTATCTTTTCAAATTAGAGGCTTCATCTTTTCTGGACTAACTCCCAGGGATGGGACTGCTGGGATCATATGGCAACTCTATTTTTGGCTTTAAGGAATCTCTATACTGTACTCCACAGTGGCTGTGACAATTTCCATTCTCTCCAACAGTGTAGGAGGGCACCCTCTTCTTCACACCCTCTCCAGCATTTACTGTTTGTAGACTTTTTGATGGCCATTGTGACTGGTGTGAGGTGGTACCTCACCGTAGATTTGCATTTCTCTAATAATCAGCAACGTTGGACATCTTTTCATGTGGGCCATCTACATATCTTCTTTGGAGAAATGGCTAATTAGGTCTTCTGTCATTTATTGACTGGGTGCGGTTTTTCTTTTTTTTGGTGTTTTTTGGATACTGAGTTGTATGACCTGTTTATGTATTTTGCAAATTAAACCCTTGTTGGATGCCTCATTCTACAAATATTTTCCCCCAGTCTGTAAGTTGTTTCATTTTGTTCATGGTTTCCTTTGTTGTACAAAAGTTTTTAAGTTTGATTAGGTCTCATTTGCTTATTTTTGCTTTTATTTCTTTTGCCTTGGGAGACTGGTCTAAGAAAATATTGCCGCATTTTACATCAGAAAATATTTTGCCTATGTTCTCTAGGATTTTTACAGTGTCATGTCTTATATTTAGGTTTTTGAATCATTTTATTTTTGTACATTTTGTGAGGTAATGTTCTAACTTCACTGATTTACATGAAGCTGTTCAACTTTCCCAACACCACTTGCTGAAGAGACTGTCTTTTCTCCATTGAATATTCTTGACTTTGTGATTCTATATAAATTTTAGGATTATTTGTTCTAGTTCTGTGAAAAACGTCATGGTTAATTTGATTGGGAATGCATTAAACCTAGATTGCTTTTGGGTAGTATGGCTATTTTAACAATATTAATTTTTCCAGTCCAATATTAGTAGCATTGTTTTAAACTGCAAAATATTGGGGACAACTTAAAAACCCACACATTGATTGAATAACCTGAAGTACATTCAAACAATGGAGTACTTTGCCTTTATTAAAAACTGACAGATTTCCCTCTGAACTGATTTAGACTGATCTCCAGGATACACGGTTTGAGTGAAAAAAGCAAATTTGAAATTCATTATATGCTACACTGTGTGTAACAAAGAAGTTGGTATAGGAAAATATATAAACATCTGCTCATTATAAGAGGATAACCCCAGAAACTGAAAGATTGGTTACCTCTAGTATGTAGGTGGAAAAGGGGTGAAAAGGAGGAGGAAACAGAAATGGCAGAGTAGGGGTAAGGGGGAGCAACATTTCTCATTGCATCTGTTTATACTGATGGTTATAACCAACAGTAGTATTTCACATACTTTCCCAAATCAAACAGACTATGATGTGGGATAACTGAAAATATAATACAAACAGTAACAAATAAATTTAAATGATCGATAAATGAATAATCACACCAAATGGGTATGGGAAAAAAAGGGAACTAATAAAAAGGCACTAGAGCAAATTCACAGGGGCTCCTCAGGTAATTTTAATATTTTCACGACATCTGTCAGACACTATCAAACTACTATTAATTTGTTTGGATCTAACCTCTTAATAAATGCTACTGTTAATGTATTTCTTTTGGCCTCGGGATACTAGTGTGGACATCTCTGTATCAGAGGATCATGAGACATGAAATAAGTGTGGAAGTGCCTCTGAAGGAGCTTACTGGGCTTTCTCAAGGACTTTTCTGGTTGGCATCATTTGCACTTTATCAAATCTGACTTTGTTAAAAAGTTATGGTTCATTTAAACACCTAAAATTTGTATACTTTTCTCTATGTATGTGACAGTTTAATAAAATTTTTCTCAAAGTCATGGCTTTCCTTTTTCTCAATACAGGTATTTATGGTACTACTCTTGTAATTATTATAGATCTGTTTTTTTTTTTTAAGGCCTTTTGAGGCTCATAAGCTAAACAGAGAAAGCAAACAAGTCAGAGAAAGAATGAAGGAGAGACCTTAAAATATTTTATCTAGTTAACATGACAAGAAGTGAGTGAAAGAGAAAGAAGGATTAAAGTAATTTGAATACACACAAGAGAGTGCATTAAGTAGAATTAAGTAGGTTGTGAAACAGAGCAAAAGAGTCTTTACATTGATCTGCCAGGTAGTGAGATGAAATCAGGTGATGAAAATGATGTGGTGAGGCTGGCCAGGAGCGCTAGCTAGAGGCAGCTGATGACAATGTGACCAGGCCATAGACAAGAGGGGGACAAGGGCTATGGTGGGCATATGAAGAATGAGAAGTGCTTTGTCTTCATCCTTTTTAAGTCCCCACCAAAATACATATATTTTAGTCCTAATTATAATGATTTTCTTACCTGGATTTCATTTCCAGAACTGCAGTTATTTCTGGTTTGGAAGCCTGTATTTGGTATAAAAGCTTAACGATATAGTTAAAGTGTTCTGGGTCAAGTACCATCCCAGCTTCAACGAGCTGTGGAAGAGGGTAAAGAATAGTCATTCTTTTAAAAATGTGAAACCAATGTGTGTGGGAAAAACTAAGAGACTGATGGAAGAAGTGAAACATGGAGACAGAATTAAAATTCATTAAAAAATCTGAAGCATATTTTTCTTCAAATATTTGAGAACTACCATAGGACACCTTACATCAAGAATTTAAAGCAAAAATGAAAATAATACTTTTGAATTTAAACTTGAACATTAGTCCTTTTCTCCAAGTTATGTCTACTACTTTATCAATTGAACCTCTTGCTTGGTACTAATTCTGTCTTTTAGTAAGTATAGCACTGTGGTTATACTGTATGCCAGATGATAAAATCCCTGAGATATATCAAGTTGAGGTTTTCTACAACGACTCTAAGTGATCAATAATTTCTTTTTTTTTTTAATTTATCTATCTTCAATTTTACTGAGCTATATGAATAACTGACATGCAGCAACTGTATAAGTTTAAGGTATACAGCATAATGATTTGACTTACATATATCATGAAAAGATTACAATAATTTGAGTGAACATCTATCACCTAATATAAACACAAAATAAAAGAAAAAGGAAAAAATTTTTCCTTGTGTTAAAAACTCTCAGGATTTACTCTCTTATCAACTTTCATATATAACATATAGCAGTGTTAATTATATTCATCACGTTGTATAATACATAGGGATTCCCTGGTGGCTCAGTCAGTAAAGAATCTGCTCGTCATGCAGGAGACCCCGATTTGATCCCTGGGTTGGGAAGATCCCCTGGAGAAGGGAATGGGAACCCTCTCCAAAATTTGTGCCTTGAGAATTCCATGGACAGAGGAACCAAGTGGGTTAAAGTCCATGGGGTCACAAAGGGTCAGACACGACTGAGTGACACACACACAGTTCTTATTTCTCTTGTAACCGGAAGTTTGTACCTTTTACCACCTTCATCCAATTTCCAATTCCCTTACCCTCTGCTTCTGGTAACCAGAAATCTTATTTCCTTTTTTGCAAGTTTGTTTTTTGAAGTATAATTAACCTATAACACTATGTTAGTTACTCGTGCACAACATGGTGATCTGACATTTCTATACATTACAAAATGATAACCATGATAAGTTTAGTTACCTTCTGTCACCATACAAACATATTACATTATTACTAACTATACCATGCCATACACTTCATCCCTGTTACTCAACTCTTATGTAACTGGAAGTTTGAATAATTCCTGATTAAAAAAGTTTCCAGGCAAGTAATTTTGTCAAGTTTTGTAATGTGAAACTAGAGGTATTCACCGAAATATTTGTTCATCTGCTAAACTGGTTCAAATGCTGCTTCCTAAAGAGAATGGGCGGGAAGTGGCGTGTTTTCCTGCTATAGGCCTACTCTGAAATGAAATGGTGAGTAGCACCAAATACTAAGAAATATTCAACAACAGTAAAAATTTTAATATACTTTTAAAAATGTAAAAATCTTTTTCTTTTTGCTATATGCCAAATATAAAGTTAACTCCTTGCCACCATATTCTTTGGCTTCCCTGGTGGCTCAGTGGTTAAAAAATCCTCCTGCAACGCAGGAGATGTGGGTTTGATCCCTGGGTTGGGCAGATCCCCTGAAGCAGGAAATGGCCACCCTCTCCAGTATTCTTGCCTGGAGAATTCCAAGGACAGAGGAGCCTGGTGGGCTACAGTCCATGGGGTCACAAAGAGTTGGACACGACTTAGTGACTAAACCACCACCACCACCATATTATCTATCTACCTTGTTTGGTAACAATGTCTTATTTATACATTGATTTGTGTATTTATTTTTGTTATATATGACCTCAAATCTTTTTGAAAAAGAAAATTTTCTTCAATCATTCTTAAGAAGTAGAGATGAGGATGGTTCATGAATTTGTAAGAAGTCACCTGGCATCCTTAGAACTATTTAATTAAGGACAAGGCCTGTTAGTCACTGGAGTCTGTTTATAAACCCTACTTCAGGAGAAAAAGAACATTTCTGAAAATATAATTCTTTGGTATAAAAAATGTGAGTAAAAGACAATTTAAGAGTAAGCAGAAATCACTATCTTCTTGGTTATTCACTATTAAAGAATAAAATGGATAAACAAAAAATCATACCTTGCAAAAGATACCAATTAAAGCAGGTACAGCATTCCTTAATTTCATAGTTGCCACATACTCAAATATTTTTAGTAATATTCTCAGAGCAGGCTGGATAAAACAAAAAAATTACACTCATTTTCATGTCTTATTTCAGTATACTTTAAGTTTCTCAAATTTGTTTATGCTGAAAAACATAAGTGTTCTCTAGGAAGTATTTAACAAACAGAAATTTAACTGCTAAATTATACATATAAGAAATGTATCAGAGAAATTAACTTAAAATATTAGAAAAATGTATTTTCAGGTTACTTACCAGCATCTTAATCATTGTGCAGAGGTTCATGACCTGTAATACTTCTTTCAATAAACAGTGTTTGAGTAAAGAATTTAGAAGGTCATTTAATACTTGTAAATCAAAGTGTATACCTGGAAGAAACTTTCTGTAGTACTCCATAAACATGTTTGCTGAAAATGATGAAATACACAGTAAAGTCATTTGCTGCTTTTAAGATAGTCACCTTTTCTAAATTAGACAATTTTTCTATATTTAAAGATCAAGTAGTATTAACTCCACCCCACTCCAGTACTCTTGCCTGGAAAATCCCATGGATGGAGGAGCCTGGTAGGCTATAGTCCATGGGGTCGCGAAGAGTCGGACACGACTGAGCGACTTCACTTTCACTTTTCACTTTCATGCACTGGAGAAGGAAATGGCAGCCCACTCCAGTATTCTTGCCTGGAGAATCCCAGGGACGGGAGCCTGGTGGGCTGCCGTCTATGGGGTTGCACAGAGTTGGGCACGACTGATGTGACTTGGCAGCAGCAGCATTAACTCAATTTCTTAAAAGATACACTTCCAGTATCAGAAATATTTGATGAAAATACATTAAAGCAAAAATTAAATGGCAACAACATGTCAACCAGGATGTTAAGTACTAGATTAGGATCTAACTCATGTGCTAGACACAAAAAATAGGACCAAATTACCTAAAACATCATAGTTTCAACATGAACTCTGAGGGAGCGACACTCTCAGGGGGACTTTAGGCAGTGGCCTGTTTAAGAGTGGAAGCAGTCTATTTTGACATATACCCCTTCTTTCTGTTTTAACCTGATCAACATGTTGACCCTAGGGATATTTTTATTCTAGTTTATGACATGAGCCTTCTCCTAAAAATTACAACACTGATTAGTTTCCACTGAAAAAGGGTTTCTTTAAAATTTAGTTTTAAGAAATTATTTATTGGGGCTGGGTGTCTGTTGCTGCATGGGCTTTTCTCTAGTTATGGCAAGTGGAGGTTACTGTCTAGTTGTGGTATGTGTGTTTCTCACTGCAGTGCCTTCTCTTATTGTGGAGCACAGGCTCTACACACGGAGGTTTTAGTAGTTGTGGCACATGGGCTCAGAAGTTGTCCTGGGCTTGAGAGCACAGACTCAATAGTTCGGCTCATGCGCTTAGCTACTCTGCAGCGCGTGGGATCTTCCCAGACCACGGATCCAACCTGTGTCTCCTGCATTGGCAAGTGGATTCTTTATAACTGGGTCACCAGGGAAGCTCTGACAAGTCATTTCTTAATGGACTCTTGCATTGCCTCACATTTTAGCTACTGTGAATAATGCTGCTATAAATATGGGTGTGCAAGTATCTTTCAAGACCCTGCTGTCAATTCTTTCATGTATATATCATGAGAAGAATTGCTGGATCATATGGTAACTCTATTTTTAATTTTTTTGGCAACTGTCATACTTTTCCACAGTGCTGTACAATTTTACATTCCTTCCCATAGTGCATGAGGGTTTCAATTTCTCCACATCCTAACACTTTTTTTTTGATAGCAGTCATTCTAATGGATATGAGGTGGTATCTCAATGTAGTTTTGATATGCATTTCCCTTAGGTCTGGTGATGTTGAGCATCACTGTACATGCTTATTGGCCATTTGTGTATCTTCTTTGGAGAAACATATCTTCAAATACTTTGCCTATTTTTGAATCAGGTTTTGTTGTTGTTGAGTTTTAAGGGTTCTCTATATTTCTAGATACTAATCCCTTATCAGATATATGATTTACAAATATTTTCTCCCATTCTGTGGGCTGCTGTTTCAACTTGTTGATATTGCCTCATAACGCACAAAATTTTCAAATTTTCATGAAGTTCAATTTATCTATTTTTTTTCTTTGTTGCCTCTGACTTTGGTTTCATATCCAAGAAATCATTGCCAAATCCAACATTGTGATGTTTTTCTCCTCATGCTTTCTTTTCAGAGTTTTATTGTTGTATTACCTTACATTAAGGTTTTCAATCCATTTTGAACTAACTTTTGTATCCAGTGTTAGATAAGGGTTCAATTTTACTGTTTTGCATTTGGATATTTAGTTTTCCAGCATTATTTGCTGAAAAAAACTATCTAACTATTGCTGGTGAATGGTCTAGCATCCTTTTCAAAAACCATTTGATCATATATGAGGGTTTATGCCTAGGCTCTCTATTCTATTCCATTGATTTATATGTCTCCCTTTATGCTAGCACCACACTTCTGATTACTATAGCTCTGGAGTAAGTTCTCAAGTTAGGAAGTATGAGTCCTCCAGTTTTTTCTTTTTCAAGATTACTTCAGGACTTCTTGAGATACCATATGAGTTTTAGGATGGGTTTTTCTATTTCTACTGAGTTACTGGCATTTTGATAGAGATTGCATTGAATCTGCAGATCTCTTGGGAAGTAATGACATTCTAATAATATTGAGTCTCCCAATCTATTAACATGGGTGGTGGTTGTTCAGTTGCTCAGTCATGTCTGACTCTTTGTAAGCCCATGGATGCAGCACGCCAGGCTTCCCTGTCCTTCACTTCTTCCTGGAGTTTGCTCAAACTCATGTCCACTGATTGGTGATGCCATTCAACAATCTCATCCTGTGTCATCCCCTTCTCCTCCTGCCTTCTATTTTTGCCAGCATCAGGGTCTTTTCCAATGAGCTGGCTCTTCGCATCAGGTGGCCAAAGTACTGGACTTTCAGCTTCAGCATCAGTCCTTTCAATGAATATTCCGGGTTGATTTCCTTTAGGATTGACTGGTTTGATCTCCTTGCAGTCCAAGGGACTCTCAAGAGTCTTCTCCCAACACCACAGTTCAAAAGCATCAATTCTTTGACATTCAGCCTTCTTTATGGTCCAACTCTCACATCCATACATAACTACTGGAAACACCATAGTTTAAAAAAAAAAAAAAACCATAGTTTTGACTATACAGACCTTTGCTGGCAAAGTAATGCTTCTGCTTTTTAATACTCCACCTAGGTTTTGTCATAGTTTTTCTTCCAAGGAGCAAGTGTCTTTTAATTTCATGGCTGCAGTCACCATCTGCAGTGATTTGGGAATCCAAGAAAATACAGCCTGTCAGTGTTTCCAGTTTCCCCATCTATATACCATAAAGTGATGGGACTGGATGCCATGATCTTAGTAATAACATTTTAATACTACAGAGTCTTCCAATCTGTGAACATGGGATGTGTCTTTAATTTCTCTTTCAGCAATGTTGTGTAGATTTCATTGTACAAGTCTTTCACTTTTTTGGTTAAATTAGTTTTTAAGTATTTTATTCTTTCGAGTTACTGTAAATGGACTTGTTTTTGTAATTCCCTTTTCAGGGTGCTCAATTTCAGTGTATAGAAATGCAAATGATTTTTGCATGTTGACTTGGTCACTTATTAACCCTAACAGCTTTTTTCCCCTCAGAATCTTAATTATTTTCTACATATAAGGTCATATCATCTGCACACAGGCCACTGACTTCTTCCTTTCTGAAATGGATGCCTTGTCTAATTGCTCTGGCAAGAACTTCCATCTCTGTTGAACTGAAGTGGTGAAAGCAGGCAAGGAGGAAAAAAAAGTTTTCACTTTTTTGCCACCAAATATGGTGTTTACTGTGAGGTTTTCAGATATGGCTTTTAAATGTTGAGGTAGTTTCCTTTTATTCTTGTCTTTTGAGTGTTTCTTTTTTTTTTAATCAATGAAAGGGTATTGAATTTTGTCAAATGCCTTTTCTGCATCAACTGAGATGATCATGTGTTTTTTTCCATTAATTATGTTAATGTGGTTACTTGGATTGATTTTTGTATGCTGAACTACACTGTATTCTAAGAACAAATTCCACTTGGTCATGGTCTATGATCCTTCCAATTCAGGTTGCTAATTTTTGTTGAGGAATTTTATATCAATGTGTTCCCTCCTCTTCAATTGCTGGGAAAAGTCTGAGAATTGATAGTAGTTCTTTAAATGTTTGGTACAACTCAACAGTGCAGATTTCCTTCTGGTATATGCCAAGCAGCAGTAGTTTTACATAATGGTTTTAATCAGACAACTTCTGGAAAAAGGATTTTATGTGGAAATTCAAATATCAAACAGATAAAAATGAACCTATGGTTAAATAGGGTAATGGGGAGTCCCACCTTCTCAGTACTTCCCCCTTGTGAACTCGTCAACTTGACAAATATTAAAGCTTGGTCCCTTCTTTTTGGGACTCACAATGTAGTAGGGGGAGATGGGAGCAGAGAATGGGATGAGGCTGTGGAGTCAGATAAGGGTGTAACGGAGATAATCCTATTTTCTATGACTAGGCTTTGAAAGATGAACAGGTCTTTGCTATGGGGAAGTGGGATAAAAGAAAGGCATCCTGGGTAGAAGAGCAGTGCCTTTATTATAGCAGAGCTTGGCCTGTTTACCATCTGAGCCACCAGGGAAGCTTCCCTGATAGCTCAGTTGGTAAAGGATCTGCCTGCAATGCAGGAGACCTGGGTTCGATCCCTGGGTTGGGAAGATCCCCTAGAGAAGGGAAAGGCTACCCACTCCAGTATTCTGGCCTGGAGAATTCCATGGACTTCATAGTCCATGGGATCACAAAGAGTCAGACACGACTGAGCGACTTTCACTTTGGCCTGTTTAGGGAACTGCACAGAATGATTGATATGTATCAGCTACAAGCTGCTGCTGCTGCTTCTGAGTTGCTTCAGTCATGTCCGACTCTGTAAGACCCTACGGACAGCAGCCCACCAGGTTCTTCTGTCTACAGGATTCTCTAGGCCAGAAAACTGGAGTGGGTTGCCATTTCCTTCTCCTCAGCTACAAGGGACATGTGTAAAAGGATGAAGATGCAGGGAAGATTCAGTTTCTGACAGATCCCTTCAGAAAGATTTTTAAGCTAATTAACGACATCCTTTTCTCTCTTATACCTGTAAATAAAATTTCTACATCATGAAAATATTAGTATGTAAGTGAATTACAATGTTACATGGATTAAAATTTATTAACCAAAATGCCACACTTATTGTTAATCCTTTCTAAGACCAACACAACTAATCTAAGACACTCAGTTTTCATACTCAAAAGTATTGAATTTACATTTAAACCATGAGGACAAAAGCATTGTTTGAAACACCTGCATTAATGATTTTATAGTAATCATTCTACTATCTCATACCTGCACGTTGTAGCAAACACAGCTCATTGATACTTATATATTTCTTAAACACATCCATACAAACCTGTAAAAGTCATGAAAAATGTAAAATCACCTTTTCATATTTCACAAAAACTATACAAATTTCAGTCCTATCTTTTTGCTTATTCTATTTTTTTTTAAAGTCAATTTAAGGCAATGGAATAAAGAAGCTGATGTTAGGTTAACTAAGATAGGAAATGCATACTGAATTTATTATAAAACACTTATTCAGAGAAGCTGTTCAGAGAAAGAGTCAAGGAAACAAAGTCAAGGCAGCAATCAATTGGAGAAGGGAGGGATTCTTTCACTGGTATAAGGAAAAACACATTGACCAAGGATTAGACAATAGATCCTATAAAGAGTCTCACTTATACACAATTAGCAGATTTATGACACAGTGATACTGTAACACAGTGGGGGAAAGGATGGTGTTGGGTCAGCTGGAGATCCATATGGGAAAAAATATGTATCTAGACCCTCTTCTCACATCCTAAACAAAAATTAGTCCTAGATAGCTTAGATTTCTAAATGCGAAAGATAAGACAGCAAAATTTTTAAAGGAAAAACATAAAAGATCATCTTCATGTTCATGTTGTTGTTTATTTGTTGTGTCTGACTCTTTTGTGACCCCATGAACTGTAGCCTGCCACGCTTGTGTCCACTGGATTTCCCAAGCAAAAATAATGGAGTGGGTTACCATTTCCTTTTCCAGGGGATCTTCCCAACCCAGGGACAGAACCTGTGTATCCTGCATTGCACGCAGATTCTTCACTACTGAGCCACCAGGGAAGCCCCTTCATGATCTTAGAAAAATTTTCTTCAATAGTGTGTAAAAAGTCTTGAGTTTGAGCAAGCTCTGGGAGTTGGTGATGGATGGGGAAGTCTGGTGTGCTGTAGTACATGGGGTCACAAAGAGTCACGACATGGCTGAGTGACTGGACTGAACTGATGTAAAACGTCAACAACATAAAAGGAAAAAAAAATGGATAAGATTGGACTATATAAAGATTAATAATTTTATTTACCAAAAGACACTTTTAAAAGGGTAAAAAGGCTTGTTGGTGGGAGTGTAAATTGGTACAATCATTATGGAGAATATGGAGGTTCCTTAAAAAACTAAACCCAGAACTACCATATGCTCCAGCAACCCACTCCTGGGCATATATCTAGAGAAAACTATCATTCTAAAAGATGCGTGAATCCCAGCATTCACTGCAACTTTATTTACAATAGCTAAGACATGGAAACAACCTACATGTCCTGCCAGAGGACTGGATAAAGAAGATGTGGTACATACATACAGTGGAATATTACGCAGCCATAAAAAGAATGAAATAATGCCATCTGCAGCAGGATGGATGTACTAGAGATGGTGATCATACTAAGTGAAGAAATTCAGACACAGAATGACAAATATTATAGCGCTTATATGTGGGATCTGAAAAAATGGTACCAGTGAATTTATTTACAAAACAGAAAGAGGCTCCCAGATGTAGAATACAAATTTGTGGTTATAAGAGGATAAACAGGAAGGGGAGGAGATTGGGACTGACATGTATTCACTAACTAACAAGGACGTCCTGTACAGCACAGGGAACTCTACTCAGTACTCTGTAATGACCTATAGGTGAGTAGAATCTAAAACAGAGTGGTTATAAATATATATTACTGATTTACTTTGCTATACACCTGAAACTAACACAACATTGCAAATCAGCTATATTCCAATAAAAATTTTAAAACTAAAAAGTAAAAGTGTGAAAAGGCAACTTGCAAAGTAGAAAAAATTATTTGCAATACACATATTTAACAAAGAGTTTGTATCCAGAGTATATAAAGAATTCTTGAGATGGATAAGAAAAAGACATCCTCTAGAATACAGATGAAATATTTAGATATTTACAGGAAGTGGACATTCAAATACCCAACAAACATTCTGAAAAATGCTCAACTTCATCAACTATGAGGGAAAGCATCACTGGCCACCCACTAGAATGGCTTAAAATGGTTGATAACACCAAGAGCTGGTGAAAATGTAAAGCAACCAGAACTCTCAGACCAAATTAAACACGTAATTTGGTAAACCACTTTAAAAATTTATCTGGCAGTATCTAACTAAAGTTGAACATATGCAAACCCTTTGACACAATAATTCCAGTTTCAAGTATAACCCATAAGAATGGCTATATATGTTCACCAAAAGACATGCACAACACTGATGGCATTACCACTGTATTTACCAAATTTAGAAGTCATCCATCAAAAGTAGTATTTATCAACAAAATAAATTTTTCTATACTCTACAATGGAATAGTCAACATTATATAGCAATGAGAAAGAAACATTTACAATTAAGTAAAAAGATAGAGATGAATCTCAAACATGTTGAGCAAAAGAAGCTAGAAACAAAAGCACACAGTGTATGATTCCATTTATATAAAGCTCAAAATCAGGCAAAGCTCTTATATCAGGATTTGATGCAAATCTGAATTAAAACCATATGACTGAAATTGTTATTAAAATAATCTCTACTTCAAAGCCTTAACATATTTTACCTTTTCATCCCCTTGCTCAGGCACATGGGCAAACTTGCATTGTGGTCGCTCACAGCCATGTAACGTATTAAAATGAAATCTGCAGTATCTGTGGGGTATCATCAACCCTAGTGGCTTCTGGAACACATAGAAAATTAGGCAAATTCCCTTTCTGTGTTAACTGTAAAACACTTATAGCAATCAAGTGAGAAAGCATCTGAAACAATCAGAAATATGTCCAAAAAAGTATCTTAAAAAAAAAAACTCCAAACAATTTATATTTTAAAAAATTATGATACAATTAAAGTTATTTGTCTGAATTTATGCAATTTCATTTAGTATAAAACTTACAGTCCACCAGTTACTACTGTTTCACTGCACATGGCTTTAAATGTTTATACTTTCCCTCCTCGTCATGTGACTGCCCTTTTTAGTTTTATAAAAAGTTACTTCTACTTTTATATATGCTTATTTCAGATGCATTTGTTAGAACTGAAAATTTCCTCAGCTTTTCTAATTAACAGGAAAAAGGTATGAGTGGAAGTTATTTACAACAAGCTTTTCCTATCAACTGCTTTTTATTACTAGCTTTCTCCTCCACCATAGAAAACTATTCATCCTATTATTTTCTGTTTTGGATAGCCCATCCCTCCCCCACTCCCCTAGCCTTAAACATCTTATATTGTTTATGAAAATCCTTCGAATTGCTACACATTTTCTGTCCCTTTCACCAATCCCATTTAAAATCAATAAAATGTCCAGAAATGCTTAAATGATAATAAGGAAATAAAACCAGAAAGCCCCAAAGTATATGCTTATAAGATTATCATTATCTTTTAAATAACGCACTTACCCCTACATTTTTTTCCCTCTTAAATATTTCACAAATTTCAGGATTCTGTAGCTTTAGGAGAGAATGCTTCCCTGGAAATCTGAAATCTAGAAATGATTAAGAATGACATTGCATTCCAATATGTTATAACTTATGCCTTTCATAACAATGGAATAGACTACTGCCATCTGTTTTAATATTTCACTTTGGACTTCTTGTGTTCAGTTCACAGGCTGTTGCCAGTGGTACAGTTCTGTGAAATGCACAGTAATTAACACTTAGGTGTTCCTTAAGGGTGTCTAGATCTGAATTTAACATTTTAAATTCATTATAAGCTAAAGATACTTTCTTAAAAGTCTCACATAGCAGCATTGAGTACTATATTCAAAAGATCGATAAGTTAAACAAATTACACACAATAAACTTTTCGTAGGGATAAAAACTACTGACAAACCTAGGTGTTATGGACTAAATTCTATCTCTTCCAATTCATATGTTGACGCCTTAACCCCCAGTGTGCCTTTGTGGAAGTAATTAAAATTAAATGGGGTTATAAAAATGAGGCTGTGATCTGACAGAATCAGTGTCCTTACAGAGACATCAAGAGTGAGCTTTCCCTCTCTCTTTCCAAGCACATGCACCAAGGAAAGGCCATGTGAGGACTCAGTGAAAAGGCTGCCGTCTGTAAGCCAGGAAGACAGCCAGAAACTGAACCCTACCAGAAACTTGATCTTGGACTTCTAGCCTCCAGAAGTGTGTGAAATGAGTATCTGTTGCTTAAGCCACCCAGTCTGAGGAATTTTGTTACGGCAGCTCAGGCTGACTACTATACCAGGCATCATTATTCCTTAGTCTTTTAAAATGAGAATTATGACATTTAGAAATTATTTTTTCTAAAGATAACATAGAAATGTTTTTTATCTTAAGTCATTTCAGTTTTTACTTTGGCTGCATCCAGATATAATTTGGGACAAGTTGAAGTTTTTGCTGCATAGCTTTGCAGTATGTTTTACTGTGACACCTGTAAAGCTTTTATAAACACGTGATAATCATGGGATTGCTGCTATCGCACACAAAAGCGGGCAGCATGAGGGCAGAGATGGGAGGTATGGAAGAGTTAGGTGTGAGCTACATACACAAAAGGATTTTATTATTTCTAAATTAATTATTCAATCTAGCTTATTTTGTTCACACACATCACAATAAATTATTTAAAATGACACAAATTATAAAGTACATTCTAAATTTCTAAAACACTCAATTAAATTATGAATATTTTAGGTATAAACTGTAATCTTCCTGTACTCCCACTATTGTGTAAATACAGATATCCCAGAAGTTATTTAATCAAAAATAGTAACTAAAGGTACACAAACCTTCTAATCTTAACATATCCTATGCTTGTTTCCATTTTCTTTTTCTTCCTTTTTTTGGCCCCACCCTGCGGCTTGCAGGATCTTACTTTCCTGATCAGGGATCGAACCTATGCCCCCTGCAGTGGAAGCATAAAGTCCTAACCACTGGACCATTAGGGAGTTCCCTCAATTATTTTCCTTAACTTTTCTGTTTTGGGTGGAAAAATCACCTGTATCATTTCTATACTGTCAAAAGTCAATAGAACTTTATTAAGAAAATTGTACCATTTATCCAGGGATTCAGTAATGTGTCTTCCTGATGAGCACTTAGATTCAAAGGCGGCAATGGCACTGGTAAGCACAGAGGTTTGGAGACCAGTGCTGCTAAGTGACATTCACCAACCACAATCTCTGTATTTTTAGAATCGCTGTTGTGTGAGCAGAAAAACCAAAATCAGAATTTAAATTTATTCTAAAAACATTAAAGTAATGAGAATCAAATAAGTAGAAACACATCCTAATGATATATATGTTCTACATACTATGCTATATACTACTATTATATAGTATGATTCTTCAGTATTTTCAATAGGTTGTTCTTGCCTTAACTAGAAAACCAATACTTGTTAAATGGCTAGGGTGTGGGAAGAAGCGGGGTGGTGGGGTTGAAACTAGAGCAAAATACTTTTGATCATGCCAGCCAAAAGGTTAGAGGAGGAACTAGATCAATGTCCAGATCCAGAAAAGACCATTCAACAATTCTACTGATAGTGCAATGAAACAAATGACTTAAAAGTTATTCTTTAGGACAAGTATATATAATAAATTTATACATGTACTTGAGATCTTCCTTTGAGAAGAAGGTATAAGAAATGTATAGTTTGAGGCTTCTGATTTAAACAGCTTTGATTATATTCTAATTAGTGAGATCCTATATAGCCAATTAAAAAAAACACTTTAATCTTGAGGTCACTTACCTAGAAAAATAAGTAACTTAAGCAGGTGGAAGGGTGAGAACTACCTCAGAGCTAACAGATATAAATGAATTTACTTTCTCAGAGAGAGATTCATGTCCTTATTCAGATACTAAAACATTTTACCTTAAATACAATTCTAATAAGCCAGAGGAGAGTAAAAATAGTAAGAAGAGGGGACAATGCTTATAACAGTTGAAACCTAGTAGCACTGATGGAGTTTAATCATTTCACACAAAATAAAAATTTCTGTTTCTCTCCCCAACTAGGGATATCCCTGATATGTGCCATCATCATAGTTCAGTTCAGTTCAGTTCAGTTCAGTTGCTCAGTCGTGTCCGACTCTTTGTGACCCCATGAATCGCAGCACACCAGGCCTCCCTGTCCATCACCAACTCCTGGAGTTTATTCAAACTCATGTCCATTGAGTTAGTGATGCCATCCAGCCATCATCATAAGTCTCCTCCAAATAAAACAAAGTAAACCAGGTAACATAAAACAAAGAAATATGAATTATGGAATTTTATAGATGGAAAAGATTTTCTAGTAAACTTCTTTTATTTTGATTAGATGATGAAATCCAGGGTAAGGGGGTGACTTGCCCAATATCACGCTCTTGGTCATTATGGCAGAGCCAAGGTGATGACAAAACTCTGCAGGTTACAACTATTTAGCTTGAAAACAATTTTTTAATAGGAAAAAAAAGTTAACCTTGTCACATTTTCTTTTCAAGATCTTCAAGTGGTAATGAATCATACTGTGTCAATCTAATTCTTAACTAGGCTTTTCTTTAACATAAAGGTTCTCAAATTGACCATGTATCAGGATTAGCTGGTGATCTTGTTGAAACACAGATTGATGGGCCCTATTTCTGGAGTTTCTGATTCAGTAGGTCAGGGATGGGAACAAATAATTTACAATTCTGACAAGTTCCCACACAATGCTGCTACTCTAAGGCTCACATTTGGAAAAACACTGTGTTAACATAAAAGAACTTGAACAGATTTGTCACCTGACCTGACTGTGCCTTGACTCACAGCAAAGTGGGTGTGGGAGGTGAATCAAATGATCTCCCAGGTACCCTTCAAACCTAAATTTGCTATCTGTAACATGTCCCAGTGAATGTACTGCACCTCTCAGTACTTATCATTGCTGACATGGAAGATACCCGCAAACTGCAATACTCATCTGATTTCAGCTATTCTTACCTTCATAACAATCACATCCACATCTTTTTTTTTTCTTTTATTGTATTACCATTACTCATTCCTTTCTCAAAAAATAATTTATGGCTGAGAACAGTTAGTGACAGTTTTAAAGTAACTTATAATATCCTTGACTCTGTATATATGTGACACATTAAATAATACCCGCATACTGTTTATGACATAGGAGCCCAACTACATACAGGAGAGACTGAAAAACATGCTCAAGACACAAATTACATGAATGACTATTTTAACATTAGGTAATTAAAAATTATGTTACAGACCTTCTGCAAACTTCAGAAATAGTTTCTTGTTCTTCTTGAGTAGCTACTTTGTCTGAAAATCTACACTGTGGAGAGATTATGGTTAAAAAATGCAAGTGAGTATCTCTACATCCCATATTAGGCTATGAGGCTTAACAGATCAGAATGTATTAGATATTAATTAAACAACTAGCTTATGGCCAAGCCAGGAAGCAATTCTACTCTATATTATTTAAAACACTGAACACTGACTTCAAAATCTCCAGTGTTCAGAAAAATATAAATCAACACATTTTCCCTAGCTTTTGATATCACCTTTAATTATGCAAACTACCATGTCAAATTATTTTGAACAATTTTGAACATTATTTTGAACATGTTTACTTTTATTCAGAAAGAACAGCTTTGAGTGATTTTTATTTATAGGTGGTATTTATGAACATAAACGTATTTTTCATTAGAAATAGTTGTATCTATTTAAAATGTTGCTATACTTAAAGCTCTTTATAATAACTGTTTTGGGAATTGTGATTCTCTGATTACAAGAAAGTTATACATGCTCAAACACTAGGCTTTTGAAAAACAGGCACCAAAATAAACCCCCTGAATCACCCATCATTTGGGTAGCCAGAGTTAACCATTTAATATCTTACTTTATATCTTTCTAGTCTTTCTAAAATTATACAAGAATATTTTATAATAACAGTGAACATTATATATACTATTATAACCTTTAGAAAGAACACTATAAAAATCAACTGAGAAACATGAAATATTAGGATATAACATGTTCCTGGATGAGAATGTTAAACATAAAAATGCTAATTCCCTCCAAATTAATTTATACATTAAAAAAATTATAACAGGAGTTTAAAAGAAAAGAATATATATTTCTTTCTTAGAAAAAAAAGAATATAAGAACAACCAAAAATATTTTAGATTTATAAAACATTTTGGTATCTTGTAAAGCAAGCCTTCCTTACTATTTTTATTTTTCAAGTAATTGACAGAATGGAATTGGTATAGGATCTGAGCAATTAATTTTCATTAATTAAAAGAGAAGGAATCATTCTATACATAAAAACTGAAAATATTAAAGATGGCACTTGAAATTTGTGAGGAAATGATTCAATAAATAGTAATGGAGCAACTAACAGGTAGTTAGTTGGATGGAAAATAAGCTTGGCTCTAATTCACTATATTCCAAAATACATTCAATAAATATTTAAATATAAAAAATACTGAAGTATCAAAAATAAAATATGAGTAGTTATGTAATTTGGAGGGTAGAGAAAGCCTAAGATAACACCAAAGGCAGAAACCATGAATTATGGATCAATAGGTCTGAATACAAACATTTAAAGTATTTTCATATGCTAAGATGACAAAAATCAACTGTCAAAATAAGAATAGAAAGGTTACATTGTTTCTACATTCTTTCTTCCAAGATAAAATTTAGATTTATATTGATATATTTAAATATAATAAGTAACACCAAAAAATACTAGAAAAAGATACAGGTGAAAATTTTTAACTCCAAAATGGGCAAGTCTTTCTCTAAATACAACTCATAACTCAAATATCATAAAATAAAACTGATACATTGGACAAAATAAAAATAAAAAGCTCTTTCAAGGTAAAAAGTTCCTACACCAAGTCGAATACAAATGAAAAATAGGAAAAAGTAGGGCAACATATGACAGAGAACCAATATGTTTAATATATGAAAAGTTCTTACAAATAAAAAAAGATCAAAATCCCAAAAGAAAAATGGGCAAAGGACATAAAAAAGAAGTTCACAGAAGAAAATGTAAATGGTTTTTACACATACTAAAAGATGCTTAACTAGACTCATAAGAGGAAAGCAAAAGAAAAGTCATTTGTAAAAATACACAGATGGACAAAAATAAAAAAAATTTTAATACTGAGTTGGTGAGTGTATGGAGGAGAAAACTGTCATTCCCATACAATGTTGATGGAAGCATAAATCAAAGCAATCTTTATGTAGGGCAATCTGAAAATTCTACTTCTAAGAATCAATCCAAAAATGCTTGCACATATGCAAAATGCCTTATGCTCAAGGATGCATAATGCAACAATGTTAAAATAGCAAAAAAATGGGAACAAACCAAGTGCCCATCAATAGTGGAACTTGTTGAACAGAGTACATCCATATAGTGGATAATTATATAATTGTAAAAGAAAGCATCCTTACATATATGGAAAGGAAACACTCCCTATTATATAGTAAGTTTTAAAAAGATAAAGAATGGTATGTTATCATTTGTATAAAATTAAAAAAAGAATAGACAACAGGTCCAGTTTGAGAAATGGCAAGTATCTGTTACTGGGCTAATCCTTCTTCAGGTGACAACTATAAACCCTAGACAAGATATTAAAAATAACTGGGTGCAGCCTGGATGGGATTGGGGGAGAATGGATATATGTATATGTATGGCTGAGTCCCTTAGCTGTTCACCTGAAACTACCACAACATTGTTAATGGGGTATACCCCAAAATAAAATAAAAAGTTTAAAGTTTGACACAAAAAATAAAAAGAATACACAATAGGTCCAGTTTAAGAAATGGCAAGTAAGTATCTCTTATTGGGCTAATCCTTCTTTAAGTAACAACTATGAACCCTAGACAAAATACAAAAACAAACAAACAAACTGCCTAAAGACACAGGAGAGATAGGAAAAGCAGGCAGTCTGGAGGGAGAGAGGGAATGATACCAGGTAACAGTCCTGTTTTTATGACACTGGGAAACAGTCTTGTTTTCATGAATTTATTTTTAAAGGGAGAACTTAAGTCAGTTGTAACCACTTGGGAAGGCTAAAATTTTGCCCTACTGAATGAAACAAAGAACCAGAAGACAGAGTTGAGGGCAAAGTCAGAAACTGGGATGTGAGGTTGGGGACCCTGGAAACGAGAGAGCCTAAGAGAGGAAGTCCCTAAATGTGCTTTCAATTTGGTCCAAATCTCCAGCTGACCCTTGAGCTATACCTTTGTAAGGCAGACTCCAAACAACCCATGTGACACTAAAAGAACTGAACAAACATTTCATTTTTTTTTTTTTTGAACCAACATTTCAACTGCCTACTACCACCGGAGAATAACCTGGAGGATGAGTCCACCCAAGTTATTGAGGAAGCCTAAGCATGCCATTACCAGATAGCCCAGCAACCGCAAACCTGGGCGCTTCTTTCAAAATACCAAATTATAGAGATGGAAAACATATTAATGGTTGCTAAGGTTATAGATGTTAGGGGTAGGGAGGGAGGTGTGACAAGGAAGTAGTATAAGGAGGGTCTTTGTAATGATGTAATTATCATCTTAATTGCACTAGAGGCTACAAAAATCTGCGCACTTGATAAAATACACAGAACTGTATACCCTCATTATACTAATACCAAATTTCTGCTTCTAATACTGGGCGTTGAGATGAAATCATGGGGAAAAACTACTTTTGCAACTTGTGAATTTACAATTGTTTCCAAAGAAAAATTAAGGACACTAGCATTTTGACTATCTGGGGCTCAAACCTAGAATCACTAAGCAATTACCACCATGGTAAACCTAAAAATTGTTGTATATGGATTCTGAGTATAACTGATACGTAAAAGTAAGAAAAAACAAGGCCTATGGGCGGAAAAGACAGAAATATATATATATTGATCATATATAAGATCATTAAGGAAACATTTCTAAAAATTCACAGAAAACCATACATGAAAGCAGAAAAAATGGCAGTCTAGACCTATGTCCTATAAATCAACTTATTTACCCTCTAAAATTCCTAAAATGTAAGGTGAGAGATAGTTAAAGTTTGTTAATTCCCAAATCTGGGGTCCAGATATCTTAAAGACAAATATTATTAACAGGGTCATGTATTTTCTAAAGAGTTGATTCTTTGAAGCTTACCATGGTAGTACAAGGATAAAAGCATCATTTCTCTTCTCTTAAACAAATCCAAAAAATAGCATCACTTTAGGAAGCAGCTAAATGATTTTGTGGATGATTTTTAAAAGAGCTAATATTGAAAACAGTCTACATCCTTAAAATATTTAGCGTTAAGAACTCAGTGATTTCTGGCAAACATCTCTTAAAATCTATCCTTGCAGAAGAGAATGCATTAAGTCTTCTCTCTGCTTTAAGTAGAACAGGATACAAACTGTTTATTTTTTAATGTTTTAGAGCAAAGGTTGGCAAGCAATGGCCTGCAGGCTGCCTGTTTTTGTAAATAAAGGTTTATTTGAATGCAGCAATTGACATTTGTTTTCATACTGTCTATGGTTTCTTTCTCGTTACGTTATAGCGACAGAGTTAAGCAGCTGTGACAGCATCCACAGGGATCACAAAGACAGAGAAGTGTTACTATCTAGTCTTTTAAAGTAAAGGTTTGCTGACCCCTGCTATAGAGTCAAGGGACTCTACTGTGTGACCCTGGATAAGATAATAAGTCTCAGTGTTTTCATCTGTGAAGGGAAATAACAGTACACATGTCAGGTACAGTAAGGTATTAACTCAGTAAATCTGGGTTGTCCATATGTTATCTGTTAAAGGCTTGGCCCATGACCTGCCATGCAAGGTGGCTAAAACAAACAAAAACACATATGAAAAACAAAACTCAACAATCATTTGTATTATTATTCTCTATCAGCCACTGCTCTAGGTGTTAAAAGATTCATTTGTGAGCAAAATGGACAAAAATCTTTGCCTTCATGGAGTTTCATTCTAGCAGGAGCAGACAGAGATAAACATAAGTAAATGTAAAGTACAAGAAAGTGGGATATGAAATGTTGACAGCAAGGAGAATATTGGAATTTTAGATTGGATGGCCAGGGAGGTCTCTCTGAGAACATGAAATCTGAGTAAAGATGTGAAGGAAATAAGAAAGTCAGGTATATAATTTTTATTTTTTTAAGGAGATAAAATGCCAAAATCAAAGGCCCTAAAGTGGGAGAAAGCCTGGTTTGTTCCAAGAACAGCAGGAGGCTAAGGTGGTCAGAGTGCAAGAGCTAAGGAGAGTAGTCAGGTCAGAGAGGTACCAAGATTGGCTAGGAGGACGGGGTACAGATACACGGTCAAGTAGGTGATAGTAAGGACTGTGGCTTCGAGTCTGGCTACTAAAAGCCACTGGAGAATTTGAAGTGGAAGAATAGCATGATCTAACCTATGCTGTGTTGACAATAAACTATAAGATAACAATATTAGAAGCTGGAGAAATGTTAAGAGGCCCCTACAGTAATTCAGGCAGGAGATGATACATGGCTGGGCACGGGTGTGATGTGGTGTGGGTGGGAGTGAAGAAAAGAGGACAATTTCCAGACATCATCTGAAACTGAGGCCAGCAGGATTTCCTTACAGTCTGCATTTGGAGTGAGAGAAAAAGAAAGGAAGGAAATCCAAGGTTTCGAGCCTAAGTGATTTATCAAGGATGGGAATGCCACTAACAGAAAAGGGGAAAATGACAGGAAAGGCTGGTGTATGGCAGGGGAGGGGACATATAACAGGAGTTCAGTTTGGAACGTGTTAAGTTTGAGAAGCCCAATTGGACATCCCAGAGGAAAAGTCAAGCAGGCAACTAGATACAAAGTTCTGCAGCTCAGAGAAGTTCAAGCTGGAGATGTGAATTTGAGAGTCTTAGTACACAGGTGGCATTCAGGGCAATGAGGCTGCATGAGATCATCTAAGGAGCAAATCTAGACAGAAAAAAAGAACAGATTCCTGGTCTAGGTGCTGGGTTGCTCCAACACAGAGGTCAGGGAGATCAGGAGAAACCAGCAAAACCAACTGGGAAGTTGCAGACAGAAATGACACCAGGAAGGTTATATTTATCCTGAAAGTCATGTAAAAAAAAGGTTTCAACAAAAGTGTAATTAACTGCTAAATACTAGTGACAGTTTCAGTAAGATTAAGACTGAACTATGTCCATTAGATTTAGCAACAAGGAGGTGGCTGGGGAGTGTTAAGAAGGGTAGTTTCGGTGGAGGTAAAGGCGAGTATCTTTGGAGCTGGAGGAAAAAGACTGGAGATGGTGGGTCTAGACAAGCCTTTGGAGAAACAGGATGACTGCTGAAAAGGAAAATGGAACCATGAAAGTGCTTTTTTTGTGGTTTTGTTTGAAGATGGGAGAAAAGATTGCTTATGTAGAACAGAATTGATCCAGTAATGAAAGGAGAATTGCTGCAGTTGTATTTTAAGAGAGAGAAGAGGTGGACTTTAGCACACAGGTGGAAGGGATAGCCTTGGCCTGTTCATCCACTGTAACAGGAAAAACCGTAGTTTTGGGAACAGATGCAGGTAGGTGGGCATTGGTGGGAACTTAAGTTCCTTTCCAATTATTTCAATTTTGTTAGTGAAGCAGGAAACAAAGTTGCTAGCTATTGAGGACAAATCAGGAGGAATAAGGAGAAAGAAGAAACCATGAAATAGTTGTTGAGGTGTCAATTAAATTATTCAACAGGTTAAGACAATCATACACTTCATCTGGCAGATAACGCATACCCTGTTTTCCCCATATCATAAACCAGTGGTGTGTTTCAACATCAAATTAGGTTTATATTCAGTTCCTAGGGCTTCTGCATCTGGGGTTGAATAACTGATGCTTGCATTCATAGCAGTCAGGCACTGTGATATTCTAAAATTTCAAAGAAGAAGGTGAGGGTGGGATGTTCTGAGAGAATAGCATTGAAACAAGTATACTATCAAGGGTGAAACAGATCACCAGCCCAGGTTGGATGTATGAGACAAGTGCTCAGGGCTGGTGCACTGGGAAGACCCAGAGGGATCAGGTGGAGAGGGAGGTGGGAGGGGGGATCGGGATGGGGAATACATGTAAATCCATGGCTGATTCATGTCATTGTATGGCAAAAACCACCAATATTGTAAAGTAATTAGCCTCCAACTAATAAAAATAAATGGGAAAAAAATAAAATAAAATTTCAAAGAATATCAAATGACATTCAGTACTTTGTGTTTAATGAGGCAGGAAGATATGTAACAATTTTGAAAGGTTCATATAGGTTTGAGAAGAACCTTAAAAGCTAAATATGTAATTAAACAGTACACCCCATTTTTTCAGGCAAGTGAGAGTCTGTTAATACTGTGTTTATGCCAAGTACCAAACTATATATTCCATGGCCAGAATGATGTGACTTTTATTCAACAAAAAGGCATTATCCTTGTTGCGTGAGTGCACAGCTAAGATGAACTTGTATATTTACCACCATCTGGACCAAGAAATAAGGAAATGCAAAAGATTCTCTAGTACCTTTTCGTCCAAGTCTGAACTTTTTGTCTGTTCACTTAGGTCTCCCGGTTTTTCATTTGAAGAAGTTTCATGAGTAACTTCTCCTAAGGAAATGTTTGCATCTTTGGAATCATGTTTTATCTCACTTGCTGAAAAGAAATAGTATTCAACTGTAGAAACTTTAAATGGCAAAATAACCAAGTCATTTAGAGATTGTTCTAAAAGTGAGTTAGAATTCAGAGACTCTTTTAAAGTCCAATGTGACAAATATGAAGTAGCATTTTCAGCAAATTATACATTTATTCCTCCCTCTCTATCAAAATAACTCCATTACATGGTATAAAAAGATATGGCAGTAATACAAAATTAAGACATAAAGATAAATTTTAGAATCTTTCTTGATCATGTCCAGTTATTTTCAATGTATTTTTAAAACTTGAAGGTTTCTGAAATTAACTTTCCAATTAAATTATTTCCTGCAAAGATCTGGTTATTTAAACTTATGATTAACTGCTAATTATAAAAAATATTAAAAAGGACTCATTTAAAATATGGTTAAGCTTTAATACATATTTTGGTTTCAAAATAAGACTACAAAAATTGCTGAAGTCAATTATCTTTTGTAGATAAAGCCTAACAAAGTTATTTATTAAAAAATCAAATGGAAGATTTCTCAAAATCTGATCTGCTAACAAGGCAGTTAAAACTGAGAAAAACTGACAAAGTGTGTACAACAGGGTTGACAGACTCTGAAATGGAAAGCTTCCTTTTTAAATGAATTCATTCTGACTGTGCCTAAACAGAGATACAAAAACACTTCAATGTTATACATTATGAAAATGTCAAGTTTTACCTGCTGACAAGGAAGCACAGATCTCTGATTTCATTGATCCAGGATCCGGTACAGGCAGTTCTCTAATACAAAGCAAACAGAGCTTAAACATTATCACATATTCTTGCAGAACTATCCACTTCTCTAAACATTAAATAACACTAGCTTTAGCAGCTGGTGAACATCAGCTCAAGTCCTCCAAAGTCAGAGCACTCTGCGGGGACACACACCTAAGTCAATTCCGAATTTGATTTTTTAATCACATTCGCCACAATAGTTAGGAAGTGCTGCCATTCAAACTTTGTTACTCAGAGAGAACTGAGAACATACACCAAGCATTTGAGACATTTTTTTAAGTATTACACCAATGCAAGATAATGACTAACTCCTACTCTCAAGCATGCATATATATATGTCTTACTGTCAATGTAAAAGGATGAGTTTGAGAGCGGTTTGAGTCTTTTTTTTTGGTAGTCTCTGAAGATAACCTATGGACTAATAGTAACAGCTATGGACATGAGAATTAAGGCAACCTGGGTTCAAATATTGTTCTGCCACTTACTATGTCAATTGTGGTAAAATTAAATTATTAAACTACTTTGAGTCTAACCACATCTGTAAAATGAGAATACTACCCACCCATGAGGTTACTGTGAGGATCAAATGAGATAAAATGTTCTTAAAGCCAATGGCACAGGCTCAACAAATGAAAACTACATCTACAGGAGCCACTAAAAAAAATGGCTTAATATTATTCCACTTTAAAAAACTTAAGACAAAAAATAAATAAAAGTACACCAAATACAATATAATAAACACCCATGACCTCACTATTTATTCCTTTAATAAATGAGTTTTATTAAACTTATCCTACAGTTCTATGACTGCCCACTGGTTCAGGGATACTTCCTAACCAAGAAAGAAGAAAACACAACATTTTATATACACCATTCTTTGAAGGCATTGGAAAACATGAAGTAATTTTCCCCCAACGTAAATACCGGAAAACAGTAAGAAGTTGTCAGAGGAGGTTAACTAAGAGGAGCTAACTGCTGGCTGACCTGTGAGCTGGACCCAGGCAATCTGGTACTCCTCATTTCTTCATGTGTGCTTGGAATGTGTGTTCTGCTTGCCTTCCCCACACTGGAAGGTGCCCAAGGACACTGCCTTGAGATGGGAGGTGGTGTTGAGACCATCTGGATGCTATATGTGACTGAACTCAGTTAAGGTTCCTATGTAATCTTAAAATATTCTGGAGGGTCTTCCCTGGTGGCTCAGTGGTAAAGAACCTCCTGCCAATGCAGGAGACAGGGGTTTGATCCCCGATCCAGGAAGATCCCACATGTCGAGGAGCAATTAAGCCCATGAACCAAAACTACTGAGTCTGCGCTCTAGAGCCTGAGAACTGCAATGAATGAGCCCACGAGCCACAGCTACTGAAGCCAGTGTGCTTTAGAGCCTGTGCTCTGCAACAAGAGAAGCCACTGCTACAAGAAGCCCACGCACCACGGCTAGTGAGTAGCCCTTGCTCACTGCAACTAGAGAAAAGCCCGCACAGCAACAAACCCCAGCACAGTCCAAAGCAAAAAGGTTCTGGTGGACTGGAGTGGAGATCTGCTCGTCATGCAGCTGCCCAAGACAAGCCTTGAAGGTAAGTTCCTTTGCTTATTAAACCCCTACCAATCTGGAGTGATTTGCTTCTTTCTCTGTTTCTCTCTGCTGTGTGTGTGTGTGTGTGTGTGTGTGTGTGTGTGTATGTGTGTGTGTGTGTGTGTGTGTGTGTGTGTGTTGTGGGGACAGTTTCAGATTACACCTAGAAAACTCATGAGGCTGAAAATTATAAGTATACAGTTTAAAGAAAGGAAAAATAAAATTACAAACAAGACAGAAACATAGACAAATCTCCCCCACCCCATATGGACTCATGTCTATCTACTAGAGTATCTCCATTTCAGTATTTCAAAGGTCTCTTCAACTCAACATGTCTAAATTTGAGCTCATAACCAGCATTGTTCCGCAGTCCTGACTGTTCTGATCAGGGAATTGTAATGCCCTTCTTTGAAACAAGAGAAACCAGGTTATCATCCTTAACTCCTACCTCGGACCTTGCCACCATTTGATGAATAGATCTGCACTTCCTAAAACCTCTCTGAAATCCACTTCTGGCTGAAGTCACCATGTGCTTTGATCTAGTTATTACAACAGCTCCTTGCCAATTTATTCTCCACAGCAAAGTTATCATGATTTTTAAACTGTAAATTTTCTACTTAAAAAGTCCTTCGGTGAATCCTGGTATGTTCTCAGGATAAAGTTCAAGCTCACCATGGATTCTAGTTTACCGAGGATGATTTGTGTATGCCTCTTAACCTGGCGTATTAATTATTAATACCTCCCCATGTCCCTCTCAAAACTTTTGCAATTCAAAAGGTCAGTTCTACTGCCATCCTATTTATAAAGCCCCACACAGCTGAGCTTTCTGCATATTCTGTAGCTTCATTTCCTACCACCTGAACACTAAGCCATGGCATGTTATTTCTGCCTCTCAGTTGTAACATGCTCTTCCCTGCAGGCCTGTATATAGACTCTTCCTTTTCTCTCACTTTTCTACTCACTTTTCTTTTCCTATTGCCTAGTTCCTACTTATTCATTAGTGTTCATCTTAAATGTCATGAGGACCAGGAAGCCTTCAACATCTTGTATTTTTCCTATCGTATTTTATTGTGTTTGTTTAATCATTTGCAGCCCTTGATAGACTAAACGCTCTGTGAGAATAAGGTCCATAGGCATCTAGTTGCTCTCTGTACACTCAGCCCCTAACATCTTCCTGGCCAGACATGAGGGAGACTCAAATGAAGATTCCTCTTTAGGAACTTCCCATATAGGAGGAGGCACACATACACAATATCCTGAGATACAGGCCAAGAGAACTACTGGAACAAATCCCTAGAAGAACATCTCAGATGTGATTTAAAGGACAACTGAATGAAAAGAAAGGAATTGACAGATAAAGAAAGACGTGTAAAAGGATTCAAATATCTGACATTGTGGAAACAGTGAGCTGCCTGCTCTGCTCATCTTTTACTAGCCTCTCCTTGCATTTTCCCCCTCAGCCCCATAGCTGCCAAAGGGAGAACACATGCAGATCCACCAAAGGGCCATAAAAAGCCGTGCCAAGCAATTTAGACTCTGACCTCAGGTGGCTGAAAGCCACTGCAGCATTGCCAGCAGTCACTGGGAGACCAATTTCTATTTCCGAAAATTACCGAAGAGGAGGATATACCAAGAGCTCAGGAAGATTAACTAGAAGCTCATTGTAATAATATAGAAAAAATATGAATAAGATAATAGCAGTGAGAATTGAGAGAAAGGAAAAACCATGAGAGATATTTAAGGTAATAGCATGAAAAAGATGAACTGACTCAATAAATAAGAGAATTGAGGGATGTTTCAAGTTATCCTTAAAGTTATATTCACAAAGAGGTATGGATCCAGACACATAAGAGATTACTCCTTAAAAAAAATCCAAACCAAAAAAAAGTAAATAGGTATAGCAAGTGTACTGCTTTAATATCAAAGTATTACAAGAGTACTTTTAACACTGCTGGTATAGTTCATAAGGGTGAGAAACTTTTCACGGTGCATAACTAACTTACAAGGAAGGTAAAATTGCACATGCCAGTCTTGTTAGAAGTAATTTTATTTCAAATTTGTGAGACACAAAGAGACATAAAATTTTTAAATTTACCTAGAGTAGAAAAAATAAAACTGTAACTCCCATAAATATATTACAACTTTATGTCAGTGGAGCAGAAAGGGAGAGAAATGAAAGGCAGGAGGAGGAAAGGAGAGAAGCAGACTTGGTTGAGGCTACAGAATACAGGGAAGCAAAAGAGAAGATCTGAGTAAAAAGGAGAGGAGACTTAGGGAAGCTTCTGAAGAACAACACAGATTACATGAAGCTTATCCTCTAACAGAGCATTTTTCAAGGGGGTGATGAAATTTAATGGGTTCCAACCAGGATTTTTAAGTAAAACAAAGTAAAATAAAAATATGATACTACACCAGTTGTAGTAAGGAAAATATTATTTTTATAAATCTAGTGTCTTACATATTCATAAGTATGTACCATATTGTAATGTAAAATGTATCTTTAGTATGGGTAACTGACAAAAAGGTTTGAAGATGACAGCTCTAGAATAATTATTAACAGAAAAAAACTTGAAAACTATTGCCCAAGAAAAATTCATAATGTTACTGCTTCCTTTTGAGATGCTAACTAGCTGAATAGAATCGATGTTCACCTATTTATATATTCACAGACTGATTGTGGAAAAGACTACCCTAAACTTACTGGGGCAATTATTCTGTAGAGAGTAGTGGCCAAAAGCAGATAAATATTACAGTATCCAATTCACTGGGCCAAAAGTTCCCAAGCCTGATGCCATGATGCGCAGTGCTCGGTTTCCTGACATTATAAATAATAACTCCATCAAGTACAATACTATTTATTTTGGCAAAAACAAACAATGGTTTATGTGGTCCAATAGACAAAAAAGTAAAAATCAGAATGATGCTTCTTTATACCTGATACTTTAAAGAGGAAGATGAGATGAGAGAGGAAAGGGACCAAAAGAAAACAATGTTTGCTGGCAGTCTATAGAATAATGGATTTGAAGCCACAGAAAGAGCCAAAATGCCACTCTTCCAGCACGCTGTTTTGGGGAGGGGAGACAGATTTTGGAGCAGGTGGGCCTGGGTCCAGATCTCAGCTCTGATACTGACTGAGCTGAGTGTTCTTTGGAAAGTTAGTGACTTTGACTCAGTTTTAAAGATAGGGCCAGTTTCAATTTCAAGTGGAATGGTTCCACTTGCTGAAATAATAAATGTAGCTAGCACAGGACAGACATGAAATGTCAGTTCTTACAATTAAGTATAAAATTGTGTATTAGAATTAGAGCGTCTTAGACACTCAGTGAAAAGGGAGAATGGACCAAGGTGAACTTCTTGAAAGACAGGCCAAGGAGTCTAAATACAATACATGAGGGAAAGAAAGAGAATGACCTTTACTTCTGCTGGAAACTGG